TCGAGACAAATCGAAATCTGTATGGTAATGTCTATTTGATTAAATAAAAAAATTCACTCTACTCAACGAAGTTAAAAAAGACATTAGAAGTTCAATAAATATTTCATTTTCCATTTTAACCAAGCCGAAAATCGAACCCTCATCTTGTCCCCTCGCGCTCGCCCCACCGTAAACGTGGGATAAAAAGAACATTGAAGGAGGTAGGCAAACCCGCCACCACCTCTGTCCGGCGGGTTTGCCTACCCTCCCCATCACAGGGGCGCTCGGCAAAGCGATGAGTGAGACTGACAATTTTTCTTGATATCAGCCTTGACAAGCTTATTTGTATTTTCAATCTTGCGTATTATAAACTTCTCTCTGTTTAATTTACATAGACTATGCACAATTTGTCAGAAGAGGAAAACTGCATAATTTTAAGCAGTTTTTGACACTGATCTTATGCATTATTTAGCATGTATTTGCGAATTATACGTAACATTACGCACAATTTGATCAAAAAGATAAATCATGCATTAGTTATGCAGAAAATTATGCATAACTTATGCATTACTTAATTATCCATAAGGTTATGCACTAAAAAAAGTGCATAAGAAATTAGTGTGAACTCTTGTAGGACCGATATTTGACTACATCTAGTGCTCCACGTGGAACTCCTTTTTCTACTGGTATTATCCAAGCATTTTCTGAAAATCTTAAAAGATAGATTACCAGAAGACAAAACAGCAGAGCAAGGCATCTCTTTCCATCAGCAGCGTAAAATCCGAAGTTTAAGTTGTGTTATGGACCGGGTCAGTCAACTCCTAGAAGGCTGGGACTGCTGGCGACACGAGGAAAAGACTGTCCCAAGTTACCCCGTAAAATTTCGATTTTTGATAAATTGAAGTCTGGACCGAAGATGGGAAAACTATAATCAACGCCCTTTCGCGAACGTTATTGTCTGTTAAGGGGTATTGAAATGCACGTTTTTTTGAATTCCATACCGGCACACTCGGAAAAGGGTTCATTCTTACCTAAAACCACCGCAAACCAAAGTTGAGACCGATCGAAAAATATTTAGGGGTCGCTACAATGGCTGAAAGTTGTAAATTTGACGTTATTTTTTAAACTGTACAACTTTGGAGTATTTGAAGCCCTGCGCAGCCGGTGTTGGTCCTAGCTTGTTGCCCCCGCAGACGTTTTTTTCCCGGGATCCAGGCCGACCAAAAGAACCCTACGGGATGCATTTTGAGCGAATGATAACGGAACTGGGTCCATTTTACGCTCAAAAAAGTGTATTTTTCTCCGCTTTCAGGGGTTTTTGAGGGGGGTTACCCTAGGGGGTTTTTGGGCACCGGGTTCCCAACCCAAGGGGGATTTTTGGATTGGGGAAAAATTTTTTTTTAAAGGCCGGTTTAGGGGAAACAATCTAAGTTTTTGGTTTTGCTCCAAAAGGGCCCTTTTTAAAATTGAAAAATATTTTATTTAATTTAAAATTAAAAAAAAATGGTTTTTACTCTTTCCTGGGCTTTTTTTCCAAAAAAGGGCCTTTTTCCCGGGAACCCGGGCGCCTTGGGGGGAAAAGTTCCCCCGGGTGAAATTTTAGGCTTTTCTACGGCTCGGGGGGTTTTTGAGAATCGCGCCAAGGGTTTGAAAAACCATTTTTTAAAAAAGTTCCCGAAGGTGCCCCGGGAATTTTGGGGGGGTTCCAGTTTTCCGGCCGCCGCTTTTCAAAAGGGGGTTTTTTAAAAAAATTTAAAAGTTTCCCGAAACCCCCCAAAGGGGAAAAAAACCCAAAACCCCCGCAAAAACTTTTTGGGCTCAGAAGAGAAAAACCCCTTTTGGGGGTCGGGGAAAAAACCTTCCCCTTTTTTCCCAACAAACCCCATTTTCCCCGGGCCGGGGCCGACTAGGGTGAAAAAAGAATTGAGCGCTGCCACGTTCCCCGAGGGTTAAATGGGGGGCCCTTTTCCCAAACCAAAGCCCCCAAATTTTTTTTTAAATTTTTACATCCCCAAAAAATTTCGTGGAAAACCCCCCCCCCAAAAATTTTCCTTGGGGAAAAAAATGGGAAAAAAAAAGGGCCAAACGGGCCGGGAAAAATTAAAATTTTTTTAAGGCCCCCGGGCCTTTAAATTTTAAAAAATTTTTTTTAGGGAAAAAAGCCGTTCATTTTTACCCGGGAAGTTTTTCCCCCCAGCGCACCCCCCGAACCGGCCCGGGGCGCTGTTTAGAATTTCCTTGTGACGGGAAGGGCAAAAGTTTTTGGTAAGGGCCAAAGGCTTTTTAAAATTTCCCCCATTTTTTATTTCAACAAGAGTCGAACCAAAAAAATTCCCCGGGTTTTTCGGGCCCCCCTTTTCTTGGCCGGCCCTTTTCAGCCAACCTTGTGTCCGAACAAAACCCAAAAATTTGGCAAAAGCCGCATCGCCGGCCGGGTCCAAAAAGGGACCATCCTTAAAACCCCCGCTTCCAAAGGGATGGGGCCGGGCCAGGGCAAAAACCCCAAAGAAGCCCCCCCGAGGGTGTCCAGTTTCCCCAAGGGGCCCCCGGGCCCTGCCCGGTTTAACCTTGGCAGTGCAAAAAGCGGGACCGCCCGCCACCCTTTTGGAAAAAAGGGGGGGAGGGCACATAAAAAGGGGAAGGGCCAAAAAATTTCCCCTTTCTTTTTCCCCGGGCCCCCCAAACGGGCAGGGTCCCTTTCCCTTTGGGAAGGGTTTTTTTTTTTCCCCCCCTTTCCCCTTTTTTTTTTAAATTTTCCCCCCCCCGGGCCCCCCCCCCCTTTGGTTTTTTTTGGGAAAAAGGGGGGGGCCAAATTTTCCCTTTCCCAAATTAAACCCCGTTTTCCCCCCTTTTTTTTCCCCCCCTTTTTTCCCCCCTTCGCGCCCAAAAATACCTGTAAAAGTACCTGCAGTTCTAGGTAAAGTTACTGCCCAAAATGTACCTAGGTACAGGTACAGTTACAATTGTGACTTGAGTACATAGGTACAGTTATAGGTACCAAAAAAGTACCTAGGTACAGTACCTAGGTACTTTTTACCTAGGTATTTCCCAGCCCTGTCCCGTAGGGTTCTTTAGGTCGGCCTGGATCCCGGAAAAAAAAGTCTCCGGGGGCAACAAGCTAGGACCAACACCGGCTGCGCAGGGCTTCAAATACTCCAAAGTTGTATAGTTTCAAAAATTACGTCAAATTTACAACTTTCAGCCATTGTAGCGACCCCTAAATATTTTTCGATCGGTCTCAAATTTGGTTTGCGGTGGTTTTAGGTAAGAATGAACCCTTTTCCGAGTGTGCCGGTATGGAATTCAAAAAAACGTGCATTTCAATACCCCTTATTGTCTGTGTATGATCTAACAACCCAGAGAGACTAATCCACCAAATCTGCATTTCACTCCTTGCACTAGGGTCAACTTGTCAATGATTTACATATTTTGTCAAAAACCCTATTAAGTAGTTTCCTGTTTCTCAAATACTAATTGTGATGTCATGCACCTTTCCACGCGTAGTCTGGGGCCTCTGAAACAAAACCCTGCCGCGGGTTTAATGCTAGGAACCCCCGTCGCTGAATGGCAGCACCAACAAGCTATCCACGGCAGACTGTCCCAAGTTACCCCCGTTGACGGTTCTAGTCGACGGACACGCCGGTTGCCGACTTTCCAGGGGCCAATCACGCGTAACGCTTCGTTTCTCAGGAACTGTCACACAAACGTGTGTAGGTCAGTAAAAAACATTGATGTTTAAGTACCCGTTCATATGTATTACAAATAATGTTTTTGTACCATTAAGCAGATTTTGGTAACGGGTCATGAACGCTGTCAAAATAATTTGTTAAGTTTATCACATTTTCGATCCGCACTCACAACGAAGAGGTGACGCTGCATTTTTTCTTCGTCGTAAGTTTGCTTGCCACAAATTTGGCAAGCCTTTTTGAATGGCAAAATTTGGCAAGCTTTGGTCGGTACTCTTCATAAGCTTGCCAAATTTTGGCAGGCTGGAGAGTGTTACCGGGCCAAGCTTGCCAAGTTTTAGCATTCAGAACGGCTTGCCAAATTACCACTGGCATTGCAGTGTTGTTTCCCTCGATGAGCCTAGAGGCCGCTGTAAGCACTGTGGCAAAAAGGTACGGAAAAATCTGTTAATTTTTTTGCCAGGACTCTCCGTAGCCCTCTCATCAATATATTCCGTAGGCTCTAACAGTATTCTCCGTAGGACCGCACAGTCATCTCCGTAAGGCCTGGAAGACCGTGTAGTCTACGGAGAATACTGATAAGGGGGCTACGGAGAATTACCACAAGCTGTTTACAGAATTTTCCGTAGCTTTTAGCCACAGTGAGGCAGCCGGTACTCCCGGTCGGGTGACAGTTGAGGCGTCTCAAATGTGTTAAACACTGCACTTCACAAAAAAAACGAAATTATGGTTTCTTTTGAAATTTAGATTTTTTTCTCTTTTCTTAACATATTTTCGTGTGGCAAATGAACAACGCTTCTTTCAGCAATTTCCCGCGCTAACTAGGCAAGAGTACTGGCGGATTTTGGTGAGTTGGGAATTGTTCTTGTGAAAGCAATTCTTCAATCTTCTTCTTCGCCTACAAATTGCACATCTCGCTACTGTAGAAGTAGGATGAAAAAGTTGACTATCGTGCCCAATCCCTGCAATTGATGAAACCAAGAAACATTGTCAGTAACAGGAGACGCAGCAGTGCGAATTGTAATTTTGAGACACCACTTGAAAACGGCGTTGAACATTAAATAGGAAGTAAAATATAATTGGGAGAAACGACTCAAAGTTTACGTAAATCTCCATAGCTCAGAAAGTTAGGAGTCGGGGCTCTAAACTTTGAGAATAAATTCATCTTTAAAGAGTTGAATTTCGGTCACTAAAGGAACTTTCTGTGACAGATAATTTTGCCCCCTATTTTACGAAGCGTTACGCTGGACCAGAGCCCACCGCCCTCTCCAGCAGCGCAGTTACTCAAATTATCATCAGGTAAACGCTTTCCTTGACCCAATGTACTGTGTGTACTTCTGCTATATGTTGCTTTCATTTTTATTATGTTAAACGTAACGTTACGCTGGCTGAGGACAGAGTGGGGGTAACCTGGGCCTCGGGTGCCCAGTCATGCGCACACTCGCGTTTGTAAATCAAGGAGACTTAAAGTGTGTCGAAGTCCATGGTCTGGCTTGTAGTTCAGACTTGGGTCCAAACTTTTTGTCCCGTTGTCTGAGTTTAAAGTGATTCCTTAATCGAAGTATTTCAATTTTGCAGTCTGAATCAGACTGTTCTCTTGGCCAAAATTTAAGCCTCTTCGAAGCCAAAATTTCAGATGTTTTAAGTCTGAATTCACTGCAAAATTTAAGGGTGAGTCTACATTCTTGTGGGCGTGGTACATTTTGTCTGACACAAGTGTGAGCATGGTGTGAACCACGTTTGTCCCACACTTGCTCCCATGTGTTCGCCGAGGCTCAATGTCACGGGTCCCACGCTTGAGGCACTGTGGCAAAAAGGTACGGAAAATTCTGTTAATTTTTTGCCAGGATTCTCCGTAGCCCTCTTATCAATATTCTCCGTAGGCTCTTACAGTATTCTCCGTAGGACGTGGAAGACTGTATAGTCCTACGGAGAATATTGACAAGGGGGCTACGGAGGATTACCACAAGCTGTTTACAGAATTTTCCGTAGCTTTTTGCCACAGTGGAGACAACCCCTTTTCCACGCTTGTAAGTGTGAGACATGCGTGATACTGTCACTCACTTGGATAGGCATTGAAATTCCAGAGGCTCTCTTGGAATATTTAAACCACTATAATGAATGTCTCCTTTCCATTAAGTCTAAATTTTCCGTGCACCGTGTTCACGTGTTTTTCGCAGTCATGGAGTGCCTTCTCTGCTCGAAGCCTTACGATCTGGCGGAGCGTCGCCCGAAGACGCTGCCTTGCGGTCACTGCTTTTGCTTGGAGTGCCTTCAGCAGCCCGATGTCAGGAGCTCCTGTCCCCGGGATAAAAAAGTACGTATTTGCAAGTCTAAATGATCCATGAACCCGAAGAAGGGGATAACTCAATTTTCAGGAGAAACAAAAAAATGTCTGCAGGGAAAATCAAATCCTTTCAGATAAATAATGTAATTGTTTTTTGTACCAAAATAAAGCATCAGTTATAACTGGAAACATTTTCAAAAGTGTAACATGACTCTGCAGACGGTTTCTGTCGTTTAAATCGTTACGTTAGAATGTACTAAGGAACCATGTTTACTTGGTTCTAACAAACGAGATTCAATATGGAGACAACTTAAGTGGAGTTAAGGTCTGCGTACACTCTATTTTGCTGTGGAAAATTTTTACCTCCTTTTTCCATTAGTTTTTGAAAATGACTTCGGAGTTGAGTTGACTCTTTTCACAATTAGATTCATTAAGTTGAGTTGATTCCTTTTACATTGGATTCATGAAGACACTATTGCTATTTTGTGAAACGGAGTCATGTGGATTTCGGTGGAGTTGAATCCATTTTCCGATGAAATTTAGACCGAAAGGAGGCAAGTTCAGGTTTATCTATTTTCCATGTGGATTTTCTCCCAAACTGCTGGGGATTGAGTCAAACTTGTGGCGTAAAGATGCTAACTATCCTGAGGCACAATAATAAGATAAAAACTCAATTTGGATAAAAGTTTTTACTGTCATATCTTCTAATGGATTAATGCCTCGGCCCCTATTTCTTAATTCTAGATATTTCTGGCAGTCCCTGCGCAGCTTCCAGACTGCTATCCGGTGGTTCAGCTGATTATCAAGTAAGTGGCATTTGCGCAGTCGGCGAACAATTCCACGCTATTTTATTCACTAAATGTCATGGGACTTTTTTTGTCCCTTGAATGATGCAATTTTAAGCACACCCGGTGGTGATGCGGGACAAATTGTGTAGTGAATGTACAGTTAACAACAGGCGTCGAACAAAATGTGTCGCCAGGCGGGAACAAAATTGTATCAGCGTCGGATGTGCTTAAAATTGCATAAATCGTGGGACAAAAAAAGTCCCATGACATTTAGTGTGTAAGGGAGGGTGGGGCAGTTTGAAACAGGGGCAGTTTGAAACAAACACCAATATTAAAGCAATGAGGGCTGCCGGAGGAAATGTGAGTGTGCACAATCTTCTATTTTCATGATCTTACTGATTTGCGATCGAAACGGTCGTCAAAGGTGCACTTTAGTGGCCTTGAAAGAAAGGTGAAACTTCGGTACCATTGAAATTGGCCTAAACTTAAATTTCTAAATCACCGCAGTTTCCGTCTGGGTTTCGCTCGTGAGCAATCATCTCGCGCGCACTTACTTCATCTTTTAGTACTTTATTAGATTAACGTAACGCACCCTCGGACACTAACGTAGCCCTCACCAATTCCGGCGGGGAGCAGCACAACTGGAATGGTGCCCTCTGGGGCAGTTTGAAACAGAAGTGGATGGGGCAGTTAGAAACACAGCAATATCACTAGAAAAAACGTTTTATATTATGGAAAGCGAGCATAATGATGGAAGTTCGTAATTCCAGATCGCATCAATGGAGACGTTGTATGTTTCACCCGTGACTTGCATCAAATTGCAACATTCCATGCTGTAAACTTTGTGGGCCGAAAAAGGCCTTTATTTCAACTCAAAAACAGTAATGTGTGTTAACAACTTTTGTTCGTCTCTCTAAGACAAGTCTATTGCCATACAAATTTTCAAAAAAATCGCATTTTAAAAAATGGGCTATTTTGGCTTTTAAATTATTATTAAAAATGTTGAAAAAGTTCGGCAAAATGTCAGCACTCGCATGGGAACATCTATTAGAGTCCATTTGAATCTATTAGAGTTGTGTACGCGGCTCTTCTTGGCCCGTTTTGACTTCCATACAGCTGTTTCAAACTGCACCATCGCTTTTTCAAACTGCCCCGGCCTGGGGCAGTTTGAAACAGATGCAAGGGTTGGAGTTTCACCTTATTATAAACGTTGAGCGAACTTGTGAGCGTCTGCGGGCGTTTTCTAGTCTAGATAATGGGTGATTCCACGCCAACTGAGTCAGTCACAAAACGGCATGGTCTCGGATCGGGACGAAACTTACGCAAATCGTAGGTCTAGTACAGTCGACTCCCGTTAGCTGGCAGGGCAACCGGGAGGCGCGTTGGACAACTAACGAGAGGCCCGGGCAGGTAGGCCAGGCCCAGCCCGGCCGAGGGTCTGGCCGGCCGGCGAGGGATTACCGGCGGCTTGATCCCCTCGCTTGTCGTGTACTATTCCAGTAGAAATATTAAACCTTTTTCTGTTCATTTTTCTAACGATCTTTTAAAATCAATGCATAGATGAGTTAAAAAGACACAGGTTTAAAAAAAACCGCACCCCAAAATTCGAATTTTTACCATAACGGTCGGCATGTCCCTCCGGTGGTCAGCTAACGGAGGCCACTGGTCCGGGCGTATGCATCACGGAATGACAGATTTGCGTTGCATTTTGTTCTTGACTGTGATAAAATAATTGAAGACTCCGCAACTCGTCAAAAAGTCAAAAACAAAATCCAACGAAAATCTGTCATTCCCGTGATGCATACGCCTGGACCAGTGGCCTCCGTTAGCTGACCGGCGGGACATGCCGATCGTTATGGTAAAAATTCGAATTTTGGGGTGCGGTTTTTTTAAACCTGTGTCTTTTTAACTCACCAATGCATTTATTTTAAAAGATTGTTAGAAAAATGAACAGAAAAAGTTACAATATTTCTACTGGAATAGTACACGACAAGCGAGGGGATTAAGCCGCCGGTAATCCCTCGCCGGCCGGTCAGACCCTCGGCCGGGCTGGGCCTGGCCGCGCTGCCCGGGCCGAGGTGGTGGGGATGACTCCGTGCCAACTATCGAATGGTCAAGGGTGGTCAGCTAACGGGAGTTGACTGTAGTGGGATGACAAAATCCAAAAGCGTTTGGCCGAAAAATATCTAGAAGCCGAGATATTGAGAGGTTAAATATGGTGCCGGGACAGCGACACGGAGACAGTTTTTCGCTCGCAGTTTCGGTAATATCCATCGGATCGAGAAACCAAGCATACCGTTGGAAAGAGGAGAAAATTTCACAAAAAGTACTTCCTTTACTTTCTTTTAAAAAGTAAAAATAGTGTTTGATACGAAATAACCTTACCTTTGATTTATCGTAGAAAGTTAGTTGCACCACCAAATTTGCTGGGAAACGTCTTAAAAAATTCCCCGTGAAACAAAGATAAGAAAAAGATCAACCACAAAAAGTACTATTTCTCGTTCCCGAGATATCTGCATTTAACTATCTTGAAGTAGCGTTGCGAGTTCAAGCTCGCGCGGCGGACGAGGTATGAGAAATCCTGCGGCACACTGGGTTGTTTACAACCGTTGCATTTGTGATTTTGACCACATCCACAGCTATGTCCGCCTCACACACTCTTCCTTGCACGTTTCGTACGCCACTTTGTCAGTATTGTGGCTCAAAATGTACGTTTTGCTCTAATTCGGGTCATTTAGCGACGTACCTACTGATGCGCGCGCCGCAGGATTTCTCATACCTCGTCCGCCGCGCGAGCTTGAACTCGCAACGCTACTTCAAGATAGTTAAATGCAGATATCTCGGGAACGAGAAATAGTACTTTTTGTGGTTGATCTTTTTCTTATCTTTGTTTCACGGGGAATTTTTTAAGACGTTTCCCAGCAAATTTGGTGGTGCAACTAACTTTCTACGATAAATCAAAGGTAAGGTTATTTCGTATCAAACACTATTTTTACTTTTTAAAAGAAAGTAAAGGAAGTACTTTTTGTGAAATTTTCTCCTCTTTCCAACGGTATGCTTGGTTTCTCGATCCGATGGATATTACCGAAACTGCGAGCGAAAAACTGTCTCCGTGTCGCTGTCCCGGCACCATATTTAACCTCTCAATATCTCGGCTTCTAGATATTTTTCGGCCAAACGCTTTTGGATTTTGTCATCCCACTACTAGACCTACGATTTGCGTAAGTTTCGTCCCGATCCGAGACCATGCCGTTTTGTGACTGACTCAGTTGGCGTGGAATCACCCTAATGCGTCATACTATTAATCTAGTGCAAACACGCAGCATATACACAGACAGTACGATTACACTGAGAATGAAAGAGTCATGATCATGACTAAAATTTTGGGCGAGGAATTCTTTATCACCCAAATTTGGGTGAGGAAAGTTTCCTCGCCCAATTTGGGTGAGGAAGGTTTCCTTACCCAAATTTGGGTCATAATACTATGGGGCCAGATGGGTAGCTGATACAGTCGACTCCCGTTAGCTGACCACCCTTGACCATTCGATAGTTGGCACGGAGTCATCCCCACCACCTCGGCCCGGGCAGCGCGGCCAGGCCCAGCCTGGCCGAGGGTCTGGCCGGCCGGCGAGGGATTACCGGCGGCTTAATCCCCTCGCTTGTCGTGTACTATTCCAGTAGAAATATTGTAACTTTTTCTGTTCATTTTTCTAACGATCTTTTAAAATAAATGCATTGGTGAGTTAAAAAGACACAGGTTTAAAAAAAACCGCACCCCAAAATTCGAATTTTTACCATAACGGTCGGCATGTCCCGTCGGTCAGCTAACGGAGGCCACTGGTCCAGGCGTATGCATCACGGAATGACAGATTTTCGTTGGATTTTGTTTTTGACTTTTTGACGAGTTGCTGAGTCTTCAATTTTTTTATCACAGTCAAGAACAAAATGCAACGCAAATCTGTCATTCCGTGATGCATACGCCCGGACCAGTGGCCTCCGTTAGCTGACCACCGGCGGGACATGCCGACCGTTATGGTAAAAATTCGAATTTTGGGGTGCGGTTTTTTTTAAACCTGTGTCTTTTTAACTCATCTATGCATTGATTTTAAAAGATCGTTTGAAAAATGAACAGAAATTTTTTTTATATTTCTTCTGGAATAGTACACGACAAGCGAGGGGATCAAGCCGCCGGTAATCCCTCGCCGGCCGGCCAGACCCTCAGCCGGGCTGGGCCTGGCCTACCTGCCCGGGCCTCTCGTTAGTTGTCCAACGCGCCTCCCGGTTGCCCTGCCAGCTAACGGGAGTCGACTGTACACCCTTCCTCACCCATTTTGGGCGAGAAAGCCTTCCTCGCCCAAATTTGGGCGAGGAAGCAATCCTCGCCCAAATTTGGGTGATAAAGTATACCTCGCCCAAAATTGAGTATTGATCATGACTTTTTCATTCTCAGTGTATAATAACGAAATTCCAAATTCTGTTTCAAACTGCCCCACCCTCCCTTACGCTACGTGAATCACTGCACTCTCAGCACGTTACCGTATTTTTCCTCATTAATTACGTATTCGTATAAACAGCAATAACAAGTACTGAGTATTTTCTAAGTAAGTAATGACTAATTTCCTTTGTAAAATTATGTACCAAACAAAATTTTCAGTACATTATTTATCCTTTTCTTAGTAGTTCTTTATAAAAAGGAAACATATGGTTGCACAAATCACTTGCATAAGTACTGAGAAAGTGAGCAAAAAGTCAATAACGTGCAGAGAGTGTGGTGATTTACGCTACCTTTCCGTTTACATGATAATACCACTTCACCGGAATATCGTTCGAATCCCAGGTTTTACCGTGTAGTTTGTGACATAAATCGTTCCAACTTCTTGAATGTACCCCAAATTTGGAGATCCCCTACCGTACACACAATTATTTTGAACACTGTGAACCAAGCACGTCGCGTATGCTGCACTGCCTTGCGTGCAATATGTCCTATTCTGATGCACGGGAAGTCCGTGCGATTGGAAAGTATTCGTTTGATGAAACCGGGTTGAAACGCATTTCACCAATTAACGCCACACGTATAGCCTTGGTGTGTGAATGCTCACCCTCAAGACATTTGCGACTACACTTTACAAACAAGAAGAGGTTGTCAAAACAAAATATTTTGAGCGTGCAGAAGCGTAAGAAATGACTTGCTAAGTTTCCGAACTGTTCCATCGTATAGTTTGTACCTTCACATGCTTTCAATTACTTCGTGAGCATGTTTCAGGATGATAAGTAAACGCGTCTGAACAGAATAATCCTAAGTTCCAGGGTAGATCTAAGACGACCCTAACTGTCAGAGCAGATCCAAGACAATCCTCTATTTTTGTGTCAATTGTGAACTATTCCAGTTGCACATCACGTGAAAAGCGGTGACTTCTCAAAGTCCGTGACGGCAACATACTTCATAAAATTACTCGCCGAAGGGCTTGTTACAATGTTTAATCCTTATATAAATAAGTGGACATTGTATTTCAGATGTATCGAGATTCTCTGATTTGCAGTGAAGATAGCACACACTAAATGTCATGGGACTTCTTTTCGCCCATGAATGATGCAATTTTAAGCACACCCAGTGGTGATGCAATGTTGTGTCCGCCAGGCGGGACAAATTGTCTAGTGAAAGTACAATTTGCAGCAGGCGTCGGACAAAATGTGTCGCCAGGCGGGAACAAAATTAAATCAGCGTCGGCTGTGCTTAAAATAGCATAAATCGTGGGACAAAAAATGTCTCATGACATTTAGTGTGTACACCTATAGGTACCTCTGCAGTTAAGATAGTTCTAAATCTGCTCTGACAGTTATGATTATTCTATCAGGACGCGTGGAAGTGTGTGCCTGGTGATAGCCTTCATCGTCCATCACTTTCCAGGTGGGGTCGGTTTAGGTGCCGGCAGTGCGACCTGAGGCCCTCAGAGGCCTGCCCGTCCGCCGCGCACAAGATCTGCGCGCGTTGCGGCGAGGCTCTGGAGGCCCAGGTTGCACCCTGGCGGAGCGAGGACTGGGCCCAGCTGCAGGCCGCCACGGGCACTCTGGAGATGACTCTGCGCGCCAAGGACTCCCAGTGGAGGGCCAAAGTGCCGCTGGGCGAGAGCCGGCCGGACCTGGAGCCGCTGCTGCGGGAGATGCTCTTCCAGTTGCACGCCGACGGACTCATCAACAAGGTGACCGCACACTGCTAGAAAAAAACAACAACAAAAGTACACAAATTTCTGGCAGATATTTTGTTAGGAATTTATTGTACTTTCAAAGTGCAACAATCGTTGCTCAAAGCGAGGGGTCAGCCACTCTTGTAATCGTGCGTCCACTTCGTCCAGTAATCATTGGTAATCACGCGCCTAAACTGGCTATTTTCGCCGTTTTTATCGGATTTTGGGGGGTTTTCTTATGAAAATGTGCCAAAATGATCAGCTGGCCAAAATTATTGAGTTTTTAGAGTATTTTCGTAGGTAATCACTGGTAATCAGTAATCCTGTGTACACTCCTGAGCTGAGTGGTTGACAAAGTATAATGGAACCGGCATAAGGTGTGCTATGCAGTCCAGGCCTCGTTGTGGTTTGTAGAATTCTCGTTGTACTTGATCCCTCACTGAGAATGAATTGGTCACCACCATCACCCTTTAAATGGGTGATGCAACTTCGTTGCCCAAATTTTGGTGACGGAAAATTCATCACCCGAAATTTGGTAACAGGCGTTTGTCGCCCAAATTTGGGCAACGCCGTCCGTCGACGACGCCGTGAGGTTCCCGATGGCGTCCTTCCGGGGCCACCACGATGACCGGAGGCCTCAACGCCACATTGGGTCATCGTGGTGGCCCCGGAAGAGCGTCATCGGGGACCTTACGGCGTCGCCGACGACGTTACCCAAATTTGGGCGACGATTTTATGACTGCGCAAAATTTGGTCACCGCTGGCTCGTCACCCAAATTTGGGCAACGGTGCGTGCGTTACCCAATGAAAGGGTGATGGTGGTGACTCTTTCATTCTCAGTGGCTGGAGTACTTTTATTGTACAGTATTTGTTGTACATTTGTTGTACTATTCACTCTTTTTCTTGCAGTGCACTCCGAGACACGTTGACACGAGCTTGCAGAAATGTCACGCTACTTTTGAGCTTTGTGTCGTTTGGGTGCGCTTAAGCTGTAATTCATGGCTGATACACATGTGACATTTTGTTGTCACGCTCGCCTCAGCGTGTCATGTTGTGTGAGACCATGTGCTTAAGTCGCACATAGTATTTAAGTGTGCTTTGTCTCGTTTCCCTCCAGGTGTCGACTGGTTCGGAGGAGGCGGCCGCGTCTGGCCCCGCTCCGCTTCCCCGTGCTTCACCGGGCATCGCCATGAACTTGGACCACATCCAGCCCAATTATGATAGTGAAAGTGACGACGAGGACACTCCCAAGGAGAAAGAGATGACTCAGCAAATGAAGACCGCGTTGGAGCGTGCCCGCCGCAACCCTGTGAGTACACCGGTTAAACTAATGCGTAGTGGTGGGTGCTCTCCGCTTCCATGAGGTTTTAGCTTTTACGCCTGAAATCAAGCGTGGCCCTTGCGCCAAGATGCCCCCTATTTTAATGCACGGAACAGTTTCTTGTGTTATGTGTGTATGCTTTATGTCGGGTTGCGTAACGTCTTTAACTGTGAGTCTACACACTAAATGTTTTATGTAGAATTTTGTACGTGCCACTTGCACGATTTTGTGCATGCGGGGAATTTGCATAATATTATGCGTGAAAATGCATGAATTTATGCAAATTCACGCACAGTTTTATGCACGACGGAACACAAGTTTAAAATTATGCATCACCACGTACAAAATTGTACATAAACATCTAGTGTGTATCCTTGACTCAAGCATAGACTTACGGTTCATACGTCATTTGCGTCCCTCTGAAGCGAACCATCCACTGTTGTTGAACCCTTCTAAACTATAAGTCAGGCCGTACGTACACTGTCAGAAATCAGCTCCGAAATTTTATGGAGAGGACCCCTACAATCACGTTCGTGGAGACTCCATTCATTTTCCATCTTTTTCGGAGAGATTTTCTCAGGGCTTAAACAGATGTTCTTCGCAGCATTACTGGGGTCCTGGTGGGAGGTAAAATGCATGTCTTTTCTCAGATGTGTTAAAGAGGCCTTCGCTGAAGCATTCTTTAGTCTGAAATGGTCAAAGAAGGGACAATCTCCTTCGAGCTCATTTGACTTATATCCTGTAGCTTTCCCTTAATATCGTGAAAACTGACGTAAACAAGTATGGGTTTTTACCTTTCCCTCATTTTTTTAACTGGTTGCAAACCTTTTTTTGTGATAGTGAAGCATGCATTTTGTTCAAAATTCCGAACCTTTTCGGAGAAAGCCCAGAATTTGCATTTATGGAGAGCACCATGCAGAAGTTTCGGAAAAACTCCATGATTTTTCCATAATTTTTTTTCGGAATTTTCTGACAGTGTGGGGGTTTTACGAGTTATTTTCAGCCTATGTCGTGTTACGTATATCGAACTTCAAAACACATCTAATAGGCGTGACTGCCTGCCTAGCCGCCATTCCTCTGCCTTACCTCCTCTGCCCGCAAATAATTTTTGGAAACAGAATTTTTAAACCCTCCGAAGTGTACACACTAAATGCTTTTGTACAAATTTTGTACGAGACATCACAGTTTTTTGTGCATACGAACTTTTCGTACAAATGTGTACAAAATTTTGCACAATTTTGTACAAAAATGGCGAAATAGGTGCAGTTTTTCGAACGAAAATTGTACGAAAATTTCGTGTGCACTAAAAATGTGATGTCTCGTACAAAATTGTACATGACATTTAGTGTGTACTACCCCCTAAAGAAAAAAGCCTCGTCACGATCTAATGACTGCGACATCGTATTCACGCATTAAACCGTCACTAGGAACATTTTGAGTGTATAACGTACAAATTATTTAGGTTGTAATGCGAAGAAATTGCTCGTCTACGAAGTATTTTCTTTGTACGTCAATTCATACTATACTCATATAGTATTTTGCTAGAAATGGTTTTTTCTACGCCCGGCCTAAATTAATTTGTAAGGTCTCCTGAGTGCTCAAACGAACAGTGCGAAATTCACATCGTGATGAATATGAAGTCAAAAGTCTCATTCGTCGCGAACGAATGTCCGAAGGTGATACTTTTAGGACGTTTTTGACGATACAATTGAGTATCGCCATAAAGTGTACCTAAGTATCGCCTTTGCATTTGCAGTGCAGTGGTCTTACGACGGATTTTTCTGCATCCCAGGTGCGTAAGCTGCTGCGCCTGCACTGCTACAGTCACCTCGGGTGGAGCCTGCAGATCCTGCAGGCAGTGGCGCCGCACTTGGAGGAGCTGGACGCGATGGAGGCGGAGCGAGAGCATCTGGAGGTGGTTCGCAACATGCCGTCGCTGCGGAAGCTCCGACTGATGACCGGCGACCTGTGGGAGGAAGCGCCGCCGCTGCCACCGCAACTGGAGGATCTGGACATCTACCGCGGCAGCCTGGACCACACCCTATCCATTCGGCGCATGCCCCGCCTCCGCAGGTACACTGCAAATTGGATAGAAAGACTTGGCGCCAAAATATGGCGAGTCTCGCCAAGTTTTGGTCCAAAGGCGAGACTTTCGTGTCTGACCACGGCCTTGAGGCCGTAACCGTCCGGCGCATTACGGCCTTTAGGTGGCGGTCAGACACATAAGTCTTGCCATTTTGTGGTAGATTTCTGTGTCTGACCGTTCTGTGGCGAGACTTTCAGGTCTGACCAAAAGTTGGCGAGATTTTTATGTCTCGCCTCTGGAGTGGCGAGATGTCTGCCCTTGGGATTTGTAGTGTAGGAAGGTTCAGTCAAGAATCTTCTGACCACTCGTTAATACCTACGAAGCATTTGCTTCACACTACGAAGAAAATGAAGGCTTTGTAGAATTGCTTTGTAGAAACGCTCTCTTTTCAGAAGGATTTTTCTTTGTAATACGAAGAGGCATTTTTTTTAAGAAGTCCGATCGTGGAACACGACCGATGCCGATTTCCTCCATTTTTGGCCCGCCCTTCTATTCAAAAAATAGGGGGAGGGCCTATGCATTTGCCTTTGTGTCTGTGTGTTGTTGTTGTTGTTGTTGTTGTTGTTGTTGTTGTTGGCGTCTGTGTACAAGGAAGGAGTTAAGCTAGAGTAACCAGATTTGGAGGGTACTTCAGGAGTACCGTCCAAACAAATAATCCGGTGGTGCAAATCCCGTCCGGGTCGCACAAGGGCTGCTGCAGGTGCATCATGGTTTACATGAGCGGGAGGGGGATTTCCGCCATTATTGGTGCTAGCAGGGCACATAGGGGTATTTTTGGAATCGGGGCGACGAGACAAGATGAATGGGCCTGGTCCCGACTCCATCGGCCGCTTTTACAAGTTGGCCAGATCAGGATCTTCAAAAAAGGGGGTCGACCGACTAAAAAAATTTATTGCAGATTTCGATTGGTCTCAGCAAGACCTTTTCAACGAGGGGTCGGAGGGGTCCAGGAGCCCGACTTCGTCTATTAGTCACATCAGGATCTTCAAAAAAGGGGGTCGACCGACTGAAAATTTTTACTTAAGTTTTCGATAGGTCTTGGCAAGACCTCTTCAACGAGGGGTCGGAAGGGGGGTCCAGGAGCCCGCCTTCATGAGTTATGGGAAAAAGTGCGACGGACTCGTTTTGCGCTCCTGCTATGCCTCTATTGCAAGGAGTTGCAGTAGCATGGCAAATATGGGTATTTTCGGAATGAGGGCGAAGAGACAAATGAAATGGGCATATTCTAAGGACAGTTGGAGTAAAAAGTGTAAGGACTATTGCATATTGTGAATAGAAGGGCGGGCCTAAGTCACGATGGTACATCGATAACTTTGCTTTACCCGCTCACGGTGTGTGTGATGCGAGCGGGCCGAAGGCCCGGGCCTTCGACTGGCCAAGTTGGGTCTGATGCGAGGGCCGAAGGCCCGAGAAAAGGCCGCCGGCAGGCCAAGCTGGGCCGGCCCCCTGTCGAACCGAGTTGCCGGCGCAGCGAAGCGGAGCTGGCAACTCGGTTCGACGGAAGGGCGGGCCCTAGCTTGTTTGGTCAAAAGTAGTCCTTGTGAGTCTAAGAAAGGCCACAAATTTTTTGGGCCGAAATATGCACCGTTCAGATTCTATGGGCAATTTTCGTTTTCTCTGACAACTTTTCACATAATATGGCCAAAATTGAAAAATCACCTTTCTGAGGCCTCTATGCACTCGATTGAGCTCAAAATGTGGTATCTTATGTAAAATCACGCGAGGAACACGAATCCGGTGCCCGTTTGTTGATAGGACAACCCAAACAGATGTTATGACTGTTTTTCAGGTTTTGTAGTGGTTTTTACTTTTCTTGGGGTTTTGGTGTTCGGCATCGATTTTCGCCAATCCGATGAGTGGATTTTATAGATAAAGGACCAATCTATCATACTACGAGATAAAAAGTTTGTGTACGCCGCGTGAAAAGCAGTGGCGCTGCAAAAATTGAAAAACCGTCATTTCTGGGTAGTTTTAGATCAGATAAGCCACCTTTCGCGTGACCGTCTCCGCCCCATATTCAGTCTAAATATTGTCCCAAGTGATGTCAGAGTTGGTGTGAAATTTCACCGCTGTAGCTCAAGTAGTTTGGAAATGGCAGCTTTCTAAAGTTTTGCAATCGCGTAAGGCATTTACTTTAAGTAGAATTGCGGTAAATGTGAAGACTTGTCACAGATCGGGTAATAAATGAGATAGATGAGTGCGTCAAAGTTCTCTAGGCGTAATTTTGGACAAGGAATCCGATTTTGCCGGTACGAAGGCCCTAGGTGTACTCTAAAACTACGTTTTCGTGCGAACCACATAAAAATGGCCATTTTTCCAACTTCAGAGTTCGCCTAGGGTCTTCGTAGCAGCAAACCCGGGTGGAAGGATCTGCAGTTCAAGTGTAGTTTGAACTCAGTGGAAAAACTGCAGTATTGGAACAGTACTATGGATTCAAAAGTAACTGCAAAAGTATTAGAGTTGAAAACTTCTATTTATGTGCATTTATCACTGACTTTTAACTAATAATAAATTGCTCTCCTGGTCTTCAGCCTTATTACAGAGCGCCTCTACAGAAAGATTTCAGTTTTGACTTAGTTTAAATTATAGTCACTACAATAGATAAGAAGTACAGAAGTAAGTGAAGTTGATGACTAGTTCTTAGGCAGTTAGACTGCATGGTAGTGTCGTGGTTAGAGAGTGCAGAAGAATCTGAAGAAAAACTGCAGTTCTAACTGAGTTTCCCTGCTAATGCCAGCGGCACCAGGCCTTATTATGTGATCGCGTTGGGTGGATGGCCTTCCCAGGCAGGTGGCGTAGACCAGTGGATAAGGCACTTGGTCCGCAACCAAAAGGTGCGAGGTTCGATTCCCCGCAAAGTATCTGATTTCATCATCAGACGAGAAGGAAGTTGGCCAAGGAAGGTCGAAGGGGGCAACAGAATGCAACAGAAGTAGGAAAATTGAACGTTCAAATTCATTTTTTAAACACGTACTTTTAACACTACAATTTAACTGCATTCGTTTTTTAAGTGAATTCTGTAGGTGCAACTATGTTTAATAAGTACATTCACTGCAGTGTAAAATTGGTTTAAACTGTAGTCAAAACTGCAGTTGGGCGAAAAAACTGGTACTTTTTCTGCAGTTTTTCTACACTTTTTGTATAAAATTCTATAGTCTTTTTGTAGTTAATTACGGTTACAGAATAGTTTAAACACAGAAAATTCTTGGCTTTTCTTCCACTTTTTTTATAATTCAAAGTTACTTAAAACACCAAGTTAAGTTAAGTAAAACGCAAGTGAAGAAGTGCTGTTCAGACTACAGATCCTTCCGCCCGATTTAAATCGGATTCCTTGTCCAAAATTACGCTTAAAGAACTTTGACGCACTCATCTATCTCATTTATTACCCGATCTGTGACAAGTCTTCACATTTACCGCAATTCTACTTAAAGTAAATGCCTTACGTGATTGCAAAACTTTAGAAAGCTGCCATTTCCAAACTACTTGAGCTACAGCGGTGAAATTTCACACCAACTCTGACATCACTTGGGACAATATTTAGACTGAATATGGGGCGGAGACGGTCACGCGAAAGGTGGCTTATCTGATCTAAAACTACCCAGAAATGACGGTTTTTCAATTTTTGCAGCGCCACTGCTTTTCACGCGGCGTACACAAACTTTTTATCTCGTAGTATGATAGATTGGTCCTTTATCTATAAAATCCACTCATCGGATTGGCGAAAATCGATGCCGAACACCAAAACCCCAAGAAAAGTAAAAACCACTACAAAACCTGAAAAACAGTCATAACATCTGTTTGGGTTGTCCTATCAACAAACGGGCACCGGATTCGTGTTCCTCGCGTGATTTTACATAAGATACCACATTTTGAGCTCAATCGAGTGCATAGAGGCCTCAGAAAGGTGATTTTTCAATTTTGGCCATATTATGTGAAAAGTTGTCAGAGAAAACGAAAATTGCCCATAGAATCTGAACGGTGCATATTTCGGCCCAAAAAATTTGTGGCCTTTCTTAGACCCACAAGGACTGCCTTTGACCAAAAAATGGAGGAAATCGGCATCGGTCGTGTTCCACGATCGGACTTCTTAAAAAAAATGCCTCGAAGCATTTGATCCAGGAAGCGGAAGAAGGGGATAACTCAATTTTGGCCATTTTTCAGGAGAAACAAAAAACTGTTAGCAGGGAAAACTAAAACAAAACAAATGAATGTTGCAGATGTTAATAATTTCAAAAAGCATTAGTAAAATTTTGGAAAAAAAATCAAAAGTGTAAGGTCACTCCGTAGAGGATTTCTGCGACTTATCACTTTCCGTTGAAATGGAAAACAGAGTCAGCTCACCTTATATTTCCTAAACAAAGAGGAATTTTGAGACAAGTCAAGTGGAACAATAGTCTGCATAAAGTGTATGTTACTCTGGTGTATTTTTTGGACTTAGCTCTTTTTTCCAAATTGAAATTTAAAATTAAGGGGGGGTTAAGTTGAGTTGATTCTTTTTACACTAGATCCATAAAAACACAAGTTGAGTTACATCCTTTTGCCAATTTGTCAAACGGACTCATGTAGACTAAGGTTGAGTTATCTCCATTTTCCAATGAAATTTAGACTGTATAAGGGGTTAAGTTGAGTTATACCCTTTTTCCATGTGGATTTTCTCCTAAACTGCTTGGAATTCAGTCAAATAATTTGGTGTAATGATGTAAACCATTCTAAGGCACAATAATAAAATAAAAACTCAATTTGGGGATAAGTCAAGTTATTCCCTTCTTCCGCTTCCTGGATCATTTCTTCGAAGCGTTTTCTTCGTAATCCGAAGCAATTCTTCGTGGAGTTTTTACTGTGGTGGTTCTTATCGAATGAATGATCGGTACTACGGCCAGAAATGTTGCTACACTGAGATTCCAAACGCTACGAGTATAGCACGTATGGTGCAATGCGCTGTGATATCGCACCATACGTGCAATGCCACAGCCATATTGCACCTTTGGTGCAATGCTTCCCGAAAAAGCTCTATGCTAATGCATGGGGAATGGGAGGCATTGCACTTCATGTGCAATGCTTTTGCATTGCACCAATTGACGCTATACTCATAGCGTTTAGATTCTCAGTGTAGAGGTTCCTTTGTAAAGTTCTTGGATTGACCTAAAATATTTGTAAATTTCCGAGAACACTCTTAAAAGCCTACGAAGCATTTGCTTCTCATAAGTGCGCAGAAAATGAAGGCATTGTAGAATTGCTTCATATTACGGAGGATTTTGCTTAGCATTTCTTTGTGGATTTTACATCGCCTTCATTTTATTCGTATTACGAAGCGATTCTTTGTTGAGTTTTTATTGTGAATCTTTGTCGATTCTGCGTGAACTTACGAAGGTGCCTTCGGCAACACTCTTGCCCGAGGTACCTTCGTAAATTTCGTACATTCTTTCTACAGTCTGCATTCTTGCTTGTCGCACCAGGTTGACGCTGAGCTACAGCCGCATGAAGTCCTTCCCGCCGTTGCCGCCACACCATTGCGGCCTGGAGTACCTCAACATCCGCGGCAGGGGGTGCAGCGAAGACAAAGACAGCATCATCATGTCCTTGATCCGTGCCCACGGCGCCACCCTGCAAGAGCTGCACATCTCGACCACCAGCCAGAAGCTTACCAAACCGTTGGCGACGGGCGAATTTTTCGAGGACCTGGGCCCCAAGCTGGGGCAGTGCGGCCTGCGTTCTCTGAAATTCCTTGTTCTGTCGAGAGACCCCCCCTTGAGGTTCCGTGACGAGGGCGAACCCAAGGGGCACAGCGTTCCGTCCTGCAAGCAGCAAGTGAAGGAGATCACCGAGGCTCTCAAGGGGGGCAGCCCGACCCTCAAGACACGAATCATTTGCAGCATCTGCGACAAGCACTGGCTCAAGTAAAATTCCGCTTCGAGTTCTGGTGAGGTACCTGACCCTCGGTTGTAATTTGTCACCTAAGTTAGGTTTATTTCTGTCCAATCTGGAATTTAAATATTGTATATCAAGAATTAGCTCCCGTCTGTCCAGTATCTCACTTCTACCGGATTTAAGACCACTGCGCTCGTTGCCTGTGAGAAGTTGACTGTCTTGGAATTCTAAAAATTGATGCCAAATTGTACAGTTATCAAGTTCTGTGCAGTTTATAAGGAAAGTTCTGTGCCAACATAGCTTCAAACTGTGTGTGAGCACTGTTACTAAGCGGCCAAAATGTTTCTTTGCAGTATGAAGATTTTTTTTCTGGCTTCGTAAATGGATAAAAATGGAAGAATCTGTAACTTTAAGTTCGTTTGTGCGATTGTACTTTTTCATACTGGAATGTTCTTGTATTCAGAGTGAATTAAAGAACTGATTGCAACGCTGTCAGTGCTGGATTCCTCCTACGCCCACAATCATAAGACGTACAATGTGCCTGGCACACACTTGAGTTTGCAGAGTACGTTACTGACTTTTCATTTATCAACAATTACGTAATTGTTTCAGCAAGGACAACACTAAGTATTTTCTGAGGAAGTTTGACTAGTTTCCTTCCTGACATTACACTGCAAATCCAAGTGTGGGATGGATACTAAATAACGTGGAACAAACTGTCCAACGCTTGGAAGCGTAGGACAAAGTGTCCCGTTCCACTTTTGTAGGCGTGGGACAAACCGCGTCCCACGTGGGAGAATCTGTCCCACGTTATCTAGTGCATGCCTGTCCTACACGCGGGTTTGCAAGTGTATTAATGCGAATAAACGTGAACGAAGAGTTAACTGTTTAACACTTCCTAATTAGTTCTTTATCAAACGCTAGGTACGTTTTATGGTTGCACAAATTACTTCTATGCGTACCGACGTAAAAAATCAGTAACGTGCTGACAGTGTGGCATGTCCGTCAAGCATTGCAAAAATTTGTTGTCACTTAATACCAAAATCGCGGATGACGATTTTCATCAAAGCGCCTTTAGTTAAGGGGAGGTTCTACTGAAAATATTGCATTTTTCAAATTGAGACCCAGTGTAAAAATTTGTTGCAGATGTATAGTAATACATAGTTAATGGTCAAACATGAAATTCAGAGCCCAATACCTCCCTCCAAATCCAGTCGAAGAGGTTTTTTCAGCCTGTTGTAGCAATATCTTAAAAAATTCTCCTACGCAAAGCATTTCAACGTAAACTGATGTTCTCGACATTTTTCACTTCTTTGGCTCATATGCAATAAAGCATGGCATCACCAAGACATGGGACCCAACAAATTTATTTTGTCGCTGCTTTTCAGAAAAAAAGTCACTAAAATATCAGAAATTTTAACATTTTCTTGAAATTTTATTGACATGCTGTCTTAAAAACACAGCTTACGGTTTTGTAATGGTCCCAGTATCTTACTAATGCCACGGTTTATCAATTATGAACCAAAGAAGTGAAAAATGCCCAGAACATCAGTTTACGTTGAAATACTTTGCGTAGGAGAGTTTTTCAAGTTACGACTGGAAATAGCAGAAAATTCCTCTTCGACTGGGTTGGGGGCTAGGTATTGCTCTCCAAACTTCAAATTTAACTATTTACTATGAAATACTTTAAATTTACAATGAATATTGATAATGGGACTCAATTTGAAGAAAGTAAGATTTTCAGTAGAACCTCCCCTTAATGCATGGACATGACAACACTGTGGCAAAAAGGTACGGAAAATCCTGTTAATTTTTTTGCCAGGATTCTCCGTAGCCCTCTTATCAATATTCTCCGTAGGCTCTTACAGTATTCTCCGTAGGGCCGCACAGTATTCTCTGTAAATCCGCACAGTCTTCTCCGTAGGACCTCGAAGACTGTATAGTCCTACGGAGATCACTGTGCGGTCCTACGGAGAATACTGTGCGGTCCTACAGAAAATACTGTACACACTAAATTACTATGTAGGTTTTTCTGCGCGCTAATGCACGAAATTGTACATGCACTTCCTAACGCACGAATTTGTGCGCGACAATGCACGATTTCCTGCATACTTGCGCACGAAATCGTGCATTATTGCGCACAAATTCGTGCGTTACGAAGTGCATGTACAATTTCGTGCATTAGCGCACAGAAAAACCTACATAGTAATTTAGTGTGTAAGAGCCTACGGAGAATATTGATAAGGGGCCTACGGAGAATTACCACAAGCTGTTTACAGAATTTTCCGTAGCTTTTTGCCACAGTGTTAACTAAGTCATCAAATGTTTTGATGACACTCTTGAAAGGAACATTAGCCTTTTAATTGTCAACAAGTGACAACCAAGCTTTTCACTGTGCGGCTGCTCCTAAACCAGTCAGACTGCACACTTAATGTTATGTACACTTTTGTACGAGACATCACAGTTTTTTGGTGCACACGAACTTTTTGTACAAATTTTGTACGAAAAACTGCACATATATCCACATTTTAGTGCAAACTCACGTACAAATTTGTGCGAAAATTTCGTGTGCACAAAAACCAGTGATGTCTCGTTCAAGATTTTTACCAAAACATTTAGTGTGTACCGGTTATACCGTTTCAGTTCCATGCGACGAACCTGCTGACGTGTTCACGATTTCCCCCTTTTCGGCCATGCAGTGCATGCAGGATGAAGTAACAAATGACGAAAGTAAGAACCAGTTAGCTTTATTGGAAAACTAAAAATTAAACGAGTTACTGTTTTAAAAAACGTTTCTCAGACAGACACGTTACAGTTATACTGCTCCTTGGAACAATGGAGACAAAATGTCAAAGATAGAAGACGTAGTTGTCATAATAATTGTTTAAAAGTCCAAGGTCAAAGCTACATAAACAACACTAGAATATGACAAATCTGGACACTCATATTGTTTAGAAAGAAACGCTGTCCTTTTTTTTTTACGGCGATGAAACTGAAAACATGCCAATGCCCAAACTACCATGATGAAGTGAGAAGCTAAGTTAGCACGAGTCTTTTCATCAGGGAACTCATTTCAAACGCCACTCCACTCTTTGATAACTTCTTCTGCAGCGACTCGAGGGTCTCCGTGGCGAGGTCTACCTTCCCCTGCTTGAACAGCACCTCAGCTTCTCCGCACTGCTCCCGTAAGGCCTTCTCCTCCGCCTCCCGGACGCGCAGCTCCCTTTCAAGACGCTTCTTCGTATTGAGGCGGGCGGCCTTCTTCGCCAGCGCCCCGAGGCGTTCCTCTGAAGTGAGCTCCTCGTTGGCAGCATCACCGGTTAGTGCAGCCAGTTCCATCTTGACAGTGTCCAGCTCAGCGGCAACCGTCTCGGTGAACCGCTCGGCCTCGGCGAGGGCGGCGGCCAGGCGGCACAGGGCGCAGCCTTCCTTGGCTTCCCGGACGTCGGCGGCACTGAGCGCGGAGAACCTCAGGCCGTGCGGGCACACCAGAGGCAGCGCCGGCCCAACGCGGCCCGCCTTGGCCAGCACCTCACTCACGTGCCGCCACGAGGCGGACCCGGACGCCGCCAGGCACGTCATGTTTCCCAGCATGAAGAAGCCTGTTGAGGATCAAGATAATACAACTCAGTACATTTGCTTGGAATCTGTGCCCCACACTGAGAATCCTAACGCTTTGAATATAGCATAGCGTCGATTGGTGCAATGCTTTTGAATTGCGCATTGTGTGCAATGCCTTCACACTAAATTCTTGTGGACTTTTTTATGCATAGTTATGCATGCGCAGAAACGTCCATATGTAATGTATAATATTATGCATCACTGTGTACATTTTATGCAGGAAGATGCATAAAACGTACACAGTGGTGCATAATTTTATACATACCTTATGGACGTTTCTGCGCATGCATAACTATGCATAAAAAATGCGTCCTCATGCATTTAAGAAGTCCACAAGAATTTAGTGTGTTCCCATTCCCGTGCATTAGCAGAGGGCATTTGCGGGACGCATTGCACGTATGGACATTGTACGTATGGAGCGATATCATAGAGCATTGCACCATTCGTTCTATGTAGGCGTTTGGGATTACAGTGCATTTCTAGGGATGTCGCAAGGACTTCCGCCACACTCAGAATCCAAATGCTAATACACAGCAAATCCAAGTGTGGGACACGAATTTGTCCCACGCTTAGAAACGTGGGACACGGCTTTGCTCCCACGCTTTCAAACGTGGGACATTTTGTCCCACGCTTACAAGCCTGGTACAGTTTGTCCCGCGTTATCTAGTGCATGCCTGTCCCACACACTTGCATTTGCAGTTTAGCGTCATTTGGTGCAATGCTTTTTGCATCGCACATGAAGTGCAAGTGCCTTCCCATTGCCATGAACTAGCATACGGCATTGTCGGGATGAATTGCACGTATTGTGCAATATGGGTATGGCATTGCACGTATGGTGCGATATCTTCGAGGGGGGAACAGCTTCCCACATTAATTGTACAAAATTTGACCACATTCCACATTCAGGTGGCAAAAACGCCTGTAAGTAGGCAACATGTGTGGCAAAAATGCCAGCAAGTACATTTCTGTATCGCCTACAAAGGGCCGTACAGAAAAATTTACCTATGACGTTACAAATCTAAAAGCGAAACTTGAGTATCTTTTTGGCGATAAAATTAAGTGTCGCCGGCTTAGCCGAAATCCTGCCTTCAAAACGACAATACTCAAGAGTGTCGGTACATTTGTTTACCGCCTTTTTGAAGGCAATATTTTCTATGCGGCTCGTTCCTGGCGATACTCCATTGTTTCGCCAGAAAAGGCACTAATTGGCTGAGCGATAGCGAAGCCCGTTACTCCAATGGGGTTAAAAAACATTTCCTGTCTGCGTGCGTGCGTGTGTGTGTGCGTGTGTGTGTGCACTACTCCTCCTGAACGGCTCGGCCGGTCTGGCTGAGATTTCGCAGGCTTATTAGGTATGTTCTTGGCGCGGCACACGCGAAATTTCACTATCCCAGCTCAACTGGTTCAGTTTTTATAGCCGAAAAACACCTAAAAAACGGCGAAAAATCGAGTTTTCTGCAAGTAGATCACCTCTGTCTTGAAGAAAGGGGGTCTGGGGGGCGGAGCCCCCCGGCCTCGACAAGTTAAAAAGTTACAAGGGCCAAGATCGTGTTATCTGTAGATGAAGCAACTCTTTCTAGAATTAAGGGGGGTCTGGGGGGCTCCCGGCATGCAACACGTAAGAAGTAACCGACGATGGACAAGCCAATGCCTGCCGAAGGCAGGCTAGCGCCGCAGGCCAAGGTAGGTACGCCAGGCGCGGATTGGAGGAACAGGCCGCGAGATATCGCGAAGCCTGTTACGACAAGACGCGGTCTGGCGTAAACCTACCTTGTGGTATTACCCTTGGATTTTGGAGTGTGAAAGCGGAAGACTAAAAATTTTGATTGCCTTACCAGTTTTGGCTCTGCTTAACGCGACGCACGCTCTGTTCTCTTTCTCCAAAAAGCCGATACAACCCGAAGAATTACTTCTCACTAAAGACAAGATGATGATCTCGTTCTCTTCGCCTTGGAAGTTGTCTACACACGTGGCTCTGATGGTCTTAGCATCACCTCCAATGTGGCGCAACTGCAATAAAAAAAAAAGTTAAATACAAAGAAGTTTAAACCTAAATGCCAGATGAGATCACTGGTAAATCTTAAGCGTAACTCTATGCTTGAGTCAAGGGTAAAGTTATGCTTGAAGACATTACGCTTGCACTGACAAAAATTTTGTCGTAACTTAGCAAAACATTTATCGCTAATTTTTTTGGCGACAAGATTTGTTGTGGAACGAATAGCTTGTTAAACCAAACTCGTACTGGAACTAAAGGATAATTTCACAACGACTAACTTGTAATAACACAGTAGCAGTCTACTTTCAAATACAAGTTGTTGACCAACAACAAATGTTGTTGGTCAACGACAAGTGTTGCAAGTTGAAAATGATTTTGTAATGTCTGGGACAAGTATTCATGGAGTACTTTTGTCGCTTAATTTATTTTGCTTAGTTCTTTTTTTAATAATAGTAATGTTGCTATGACTAAAGAAGACCAATATATGATTATTCATAATATGCTTTAATTGAGCAGATAATTGCAAAAGATTTTGTTTCCATACAAATAGTATCGTTAAGGGTGGTAACAAGAATTTTGTTCTTCAACAACAATTTGTCGCTTACAAGATTCAATGACATTTCTTTCGCTTTGGTTCATGATAAATTTCTTTGTTTTGGAACGACTAAATTTTCACTCATCTGATTGTTTCTATACAACCATTTTTTAACAGTGCATGAAATCAAGCAAAGATTAGGAAATCACCCATACATTTAGATAGTGGGAATCTTGGCGGATAGGCCTGTTACGCTTGATTTCAAGCGTAAACCGATTACGATTGAAAACACTGGGTAATACTACATTTTAGCTTCAGTAGTGATTATAGTACAGACTATAAAATCTACTAAACCTGAATTTTTGTCATTTCTTAAGTACTTTTTGATTTCTATATGATCTACTGACAATTTTATCCTAAAAAGATCAAAATTGGGCATATTTTAAGAGAAAATGGAACATTTTACGTCTGCTCAAAACGTCTAGGAACAAGAGAAAAATAGTCCATATGAGACTGAGAGTGTACTTAACAAGGTAGGTTTACGCCAGACCGCGTCTTGGCCTGGTCGCTGCCTGTTTCTCCAATCCGCGCCTGGCGTACCTACCTTGGCCTGCGGCGCTAGGCTGCCTTCGGCAGACAATGCTTGTCCATCATCAGTTACTTCAGAACTGTTGCATGCTGGGGGCCCCCAGACCCCCCTTCATTCTAGATAGAGGTGCTTCATCTACAAATTACACGATCTTGACCCTTGTAACTTTTCAACTTGTCGTGGCTGGGGGGCGGAGCCCCCCAGACCCCCCTTTCATCCAGACAGGAGAGGTCTACCGACAGAAAACTCGATTTTTCGCCGTTTTTTAGGTGTTTTTCGGCTATAAAAACTGAACCACTTGAGCTAGGATGGTGAAATTTCGCGTGTGCCGAGCCAAGAACATACCTAATAACCCTGCAAAATCTCAGCCAGATCGGCCGAGCCGTTCAGGAGGAGTAGTGTACACACACACACACACACACACACACACACACACACAGACAGACAGACAGACAGACACACAGACAGACAAAACTTTTCAACCGCACTGGAGTAACAGGCTTCGCTATCGCTCAGCCAAAAACCCGGTTTGATTACCCACTCCGGATACCTTAAGGGCTCAGGCAGACCTCTTAATCAACATTACTGGTGCGTAAGGTAACTTTATGCTCGAGGCAAGCATGGAGTTACACTTTAAGATGTTACGCTTGAAATAAAGCATACACTGAAAATTCCCCCAAGTTAAGTTAGGGTTAGGGCGGGGAAGAACTGGACACCCCACCCCACTTCAAATACTGGAGGCATAGGAAAAACAACTATCAAAAGTTGTTCCGTGGCATCAGCAGTTCATTACATGACAGTTGTCAGGCCAGTACATACGGCATTTGAAGTAAAATGTGGGGTGTCCAGTTCTTCCCCTGTTCAGTTTTTCCCCGCACTGACCCTAAGAGGAATCTTAGCGAAATAAACTGTTACTCTAGATTTCAAGAATAAAATGGTAACGCCTAAAACAAAGAGTAACAGCACAGTTTGGTATTTTTAGTGATATTAGACTTGCAGCACAAAGTCCAAAGTATTTTGAATTCGGATGTCCACTTTACTGTGTTCGACTCAAGATAAATATCGGTAAAGCAAGGTAAAGCAGGATAAAGAATTTTAATATTTTCACTATGGTCTCTTACTGCCGTGAGTTGCGCTTAAATGGTGCTTTATTTGTTGACACCGTTCCAGAGAGTTACGCTAAGTACTCTGAAAACGGTCGAAAGAAACAACAGTTGTGAATGGTCTACGCTTGAAAACATACGCACGTGTTTTAGCACCAGGCCGAGCTGTTTCCTGTAGGTTGTCAATATTGTGATCTTGTCTGCATCGTACCCTTGATGGAGCAAGTAAGCTCCAAGTTCTGCAGCCATCTCTGCCTCTTGAGCGTGGCAGTAACCAGTACCCTCCTACAAAATCAGAAACAAAACAAAAAAAGTTAGGCCAGGAACAGCAGTTACGAAGAAGGAGGAAGAAATTTCGGGCCTTGCTGCAAATTGAACCGGTTGGGAACTACAGCGTACTCAAAATGTTCCTAATCTTTCCCTCAACATGATTTTTATACGTTTCGAGGATTGGTCTAAGGGTAAAATTCAAAGGGATTGACACAAATTCGAGACATAAAAAAATAACCTACCCTTTTGAAAAGATGTTCGAAGTTAAGGGTAATAACTTTAACTCTTATGATAACGTTATGATGCCCTTATGAGGTAAGTTAAGGATCCCTGTAAAGCAGTGGGACCGAGGGCAGACCGATGCGTTTTCTCTTTGCGTGGAACATGTATGAGCGTTAGAGCACTGAAAATTGAAGAGTTAGAACTCTGACCAAATCTCGGCGAGGATTAAGGTGAGATGTGGGTGAAAATTTGTACCAAAATTGATTAAAATGATAAATTTGAACAGTAAATCGCCTGATTGAGAAATCTGTTTTTACTCGTTACTGTTAGACTGTTAATACTGTTTAGGGGTAAAATTCAAGGGGATTGACACGACCTGAACCTCATGTCGTCAGAACTTGATGAAAGTGGGCTCAAATGTTACCCTCATAGGGGTAAGCAAGCCCACAAAATTTGAACCCTCTAGCTCAACTAACATGGGCGCAGTGAACAATCTAATTTTCGCCTGAAATTCATTTTCACCTTTTTCAGCAAAATGCACATTTTTGGAAAAGTCGTCGCGCTGGCCGCCCCGACGGCCTTTCCTCCGCCTGATCGACGTTTCTAGACTCAAAATTGTCTGGGGAATCCGAATCTGGCGTCGGTTTTCCGATAGCGTTCCGATAAAAATCCAAAAATGGCACCTTTTTTTACGGAAATTCAGTTATTTTAGGGGTTCACGCGACAGGCCGTATCCGCTAGCCCCCAATCCAAACATGCCCGTTTCAACTTTTTTTCAGTTCAGGGACACTATAAGCTTAATTTTAAGATGGGCCCCGATATTGTGTATGGGTCTCGTTTAGGAGCTAGCCCTATGCCCAACTTTTGACTTTTTCCCTAAAACTTGTTTTTCTATGAAACCTTTAAAAAGGCATGGCCTCCTCAAAAAACGTCCTAGGCGGCAAATAAAGTAGTCTAACGGACGCAGAATTCCCCGAGGATCACGATGCTGCTCGTGCACTTGAGTTTTGGGTCCTCAAACACAGTCAAAACTCCAAAAAACAAAAAATTTATGTTAAATGCCACAAAATGTTGAACGGCAATTACGACCCTTTTCCCCGTCGCAAGGCCGCTTTGCCGTTGCCTACTCGGACTCCTTGGAGTTTCTACTTTGAGAATAAGCAGAAAAGGGTCAGCAGCCCACACTGGAAACTGCGGACTTCCCCGTAAGGGCGATGCACCGCGCCGCCAAGGTGGGCAACCAGTTTGACGCACCCCTCGGCCACAGGCAGTGGAGGTCGCGCGCGCCGCCCGGGTAGACATAGGCGGTGGGCCGAACGGAAAAAAGCTGTACGTCATGACCAGATATTGAGCTTTTACACAGTTGTAGTATGGACGTATGGTGACAATTTTGGCTGGAGAGGCAATTGATTCGTCCCCTAGGCTATTTTTCAAGGAAATTCCAGGAAATTGCCGTTAGTCCGTTTTTGACGTAGCTACGTTTCCAGTGGACCGATTTCAACACGCAAAGAATGCTTTCTGATGTAAAATTTAACAAGGAATCTGAAACTGCCCAGATTTAGCGTAGTTAAAATACTTTTGACTTTTAGGCCGACAAAGTTAGAATTTTATTTTCACACAAAAGCTCGAAGTTTTGTTCATTGGCCCATAACTTTTTTCCTCGCTTGATTTTGGGAAATGACCTTTTCTAACGGCTGTAGCCTGCTTCTTTTCGTAAAAAAATGAGCACAAAACCAACTTGGTACCTTGAACGGTGCCTGAGATAGGTGGGTGCGAAGCGCGCGCGGCGGCTCTAGGCGCAAGCGCGGGCCCGCCCGGCCCGGCCCTGTGGCCGCGCTAGCCAAAAAAGTCGCACATTCAGTGATAGAAGCATGAAACTTGACAGAGACGTTCTCAAAGGTATAAGAAACCATTCTGTACGAAGTCTTTTGGTTTTTTCGGACCGTTTGGCCAGAAACGTTCAATGTGTTCAAATTAAACATTTTTTTAAAAACTACATGCAAACTATGATAAACAGTGGCACCAAGTGACGTTTTCACAGACTTCGATGTCTCTTAACGTGAATCCTGCCTCATCCAAGGAATTGGAACACATGTGAACACCTTTGTGAACGATTTTTTTCATTTTCCTACATTGCTTCTAAGACAGCGGTTCTCAACCTTTTTTCGGCTCGCGACCCCAAATTTGTAGTCAAAGGTGCGATTTTATGCCTTAGTTTGGGAGAAGTGTTGTCTCAAAGTTGATCAAAACGGTCAAAAAAGCCTTAGAAAAATCATGTTTTGGGCCGACTATAAGCAGCCTGTGCGTCTGATTCGACGCGGGCCTTCGTACTTTCTCAACGGTCATTGGTCTTTGGACCTTCCTCTAGCATGCCTTTGTTACGGAGTGCGATTATCCGCCTTAGTCAGGGAGCAGTATTTGCTCAAAGTTGATCGAAACGGTCAAAAACGCCTGTAAAAAATCGTGTTTTGGGCCGACTTTAAGCAGCCTCTACGTCTGATCCGAGGCGCGCCTTCATACTTTCTCAACAGGCATTTGGTCTTTGGACCTTCTCTTAGCATGCCTTTGTTACGGATTATAATTATCTGCCTTAGTTTGGGAGCAGTATTGGCTCAAATTTGATCAAAACAGGCACCCGCGGCTTACCTCCGGATTACATCAAAACATTTCCAGGATTACCATTAGATTACGCCCGATTACCTCAGAATTTCCCCGGATTACCCCGGATTACTTCGGAATTTCTGGTTATCCGGATAACGGATTACCAATTTGCTGTACACCGGAGCGAAGTCATTTCCCCCTCGGTTTTGGGCCGATTTTAAGCAGCCACTGCGTCTGATCCGAGGCGGGCCTTTGTACTTTCTCATCGGGCATTTGGTCTTTGGACCTTCCTTTAGCATGGCTTCGTTACGGAGTGCGATTATGCGCCTTAGTTGGGAGCAGTCTTGTCTCAAAGTTGATCAAAACGGTCACAAATGCCATTAAAGTCGGTTTTGATCAACTTTGAGACAATACTGCACCCAAACTAAGGCGAATAATCGCACTCCGTAACAATGGCATCCTAAAGGAAGGTCCAAAGACCATATGCCTGGTTGCCTACCCGGGCGGCGCGCGCGACCTCCACTGCCTGTGGCCGAGGGGTGCGTCAAACTGGTTGCCCACCTTGGCGGCGCGGTGCATCGCCCTTACGGGGAAGTCCGCAGTTTCCAGTGTGGGCTGCTGACCCTTTTCTGCTTATTCTCAAAGTAGAAACTCCAAGGAGTCCGAGTAGGCAACGGCAAAGCGGCCTTGCGACGGGGAAAAGGGTCGTAATTGCCGTTCAACATTTTGTGGCATTTAACATAAACTTTTTGTTTTTTGGAGTTTTGACTGTGTTTGAGGCCCCAAAACTCAAGTGCACGTGCAGCATCGTGATCCTCGGGAAATTCTGCGTCCGTTAGACTACTTTATTTGCCGCCTAGGACGTTTTTTGAGGAGGCCATGCCTTTTTAAAGGTTTCATAGAAAAACAAGTTTTAGGGAAAAAGTCAAAAGTTGGGCATAGGGCTAGCTCCTAAACGAGACCCATACACAATATCGGGGCCCATCTTAAAATTAAGCTTATGGTGTCCCTTAACTGAAAAAAAGTTGAAACGGGCATGTTTGGATTGGGGGCTAGCGGATACGGCCTGTCGCGTGAACCCCTAAAATAACTGAATTTCCGTAAAAAAAGGTGCCATTTTTGGATTTTTATCGGAACGCTATCGGAAAACCGACGCCAGATTCGGATTCCCCAGACAATTTTGAGTCTAGAAACGTCGATCAGGCGGAGGAAAGGCCGTCGGGGCGGCCCCTTTCAAAGCTCTGTTTTCTTCATTGAACTGATTGCACATTTTCTTCAGAGTCAACTCACAAGATAGGTACTTTTGCTTTGTCTGCTTCCTGCAGTAATGAGACACGTAAGCAGGATAAGATTTAATGTGATCCAAGACTTTTTGCTTCACGTCTGCAGCCAAGGCATGAGAAGGAGTTTGTTTCCCTCGACGTTCATTGGGACCAATTCCAGTTGTAGTCTCCGATTTTTTCTTGAGGCAGATGCGAACAAATGTATCTGTTTCTCCAAGTGTATCGAGGAATGTTGATTTACAAACCTGATATCTACTCCCTTTGATGTCAAAGAAATATTTGTTTGAATATGTCTTTCCCCGGTTTGAAGCCTGCCACCTTTTTCTGGAGCGCTGAATTCTTTCAGTTTGAACTCTGGAGCAGATGTAGTTCACTCGCTTTTCGTAACTACCCATAGCCCAATACTCAGAAAATATAGCGTCACCAATTTCATTAGTAATGATGTTCTGACATTTCAGACGTTTACACTTGTGAACAGCTTTTCGTTGCCTTGCACTGACTGATACACCTTCACCAGACACATAAGCTTGACCACTATTTCGCTTGGCTTTGCGAGCAGCTCTTAGCTGTTTCTTAGTTATCTTCGGTGGGGGTGAAGATGGCTCATCAGGCATTTCTTCAAAACCTGCAGACAGAAGGTTTGCATGAATATAAGACCAAACACACAATTCCTTGATGGTGCATAAGAATTCAGAACTCACTAGCATCAACTGCAGAACCTCTATGACTAGGTACTTCAGAGGTGCCTTCATTTCCTGAACTGCTTTCATTATCATCTGTGTCATCTCCATTACAATTTGTGAAGTCAGTGTTTGGACCAAAGTTCCCCACAATCCATGAGGGATCATCATCATCAGAACCAATAAATAAATCATCTGAACTATCATCAGAAGTTGGTGTTAGTCCATAGGTTACTTTGGACGTTCTGTTTCTAAGATGGCGTTCTGAAAATCCAAAACAAATAGAGTAAGAATGGACCTTCAGACACTAGATAGAAGGGCCCACATTTTCAAAAATTAAGATGTAAAGTACATACGAGATGATGCAGAATTGCTTGTTGAGGTTTTGGTTGAGGGCAAAGGCTTGTTGAACCTACTAGCACCTGTAAAAGAAATAACAAAAATGGAAGCAACCGTCTCATAAGCCTCATTACCTTACTCTGATTCCATGGTCTCTCATGTCAAAGCACTAAATACCTGTTTCTGATTGAGGCAAGGGTCTAAGTTGTCCCATATTCACCAACACAGCTGTGAAAGGAAAAAAATAATTAATAGTGGAAAGGCTGCAAAAAATCCAAAATAAAACAGATGCTAGTGACTTGAAAGATTTACCTCGAGTTGAGGGTAAGACAGTCCCTTGTGAATCACAGCTATTTCTAATCACATGAGGTGGAGAGTTTTCTGAGGGTTTAGCTGGTGTCGGTATCCTTTTAGGAGGTGAGGGAGTCCCCTGAGAGTCACAGGCATTTCTTTTTGCAGCTGCAATAACAGTAAGGTATGAGGTATGAGTATCTATTCCAATAAATAATCATTCCACAAAAGATTGTTTTTGTTAACTCACAATGAGGTGGAGAGTTTTCCGAGGAATTGGTTGACACCTTGGATCTTTCGGTACTGGCTTTGGGTCGGGGTAGACCAACACGTGGAGCTAAACAATGAGGTGGAGAGTTTCCTGAGGGATTAGCTGACACTTGGAATCTTTTAGGTGGTAAGAATGTCCCCTCCAAGTCACAGGTATTTCTTTTCTCAGCTGCAAGAACAGTAAGGTATGAGTTGCTATTCCAATAAATGAATTATTCCACAAAAGAATGTCTTTGTTCATAGTCACATTTTGGATGAGGTAGAGACTTTTCCGAGGAATCAGTTGACACCTTGGATCCATTGGCTTTGGGTCGGGGTAGACCAACACGTGGAGCTAAACAAAGGGTTATAAATGAATTGTACTTGATAAATTTGAAAAGAAATAAAAGGATAGAAAAGGTTATGTGAATGAGAAAAAGATGCACTTAAATTTACCTTGAGGAGCTGGTAGGATTTTAGAGGATGTATCCACAAGAGCCAACTTTGTACTCTTTCTGTTACATTCCTTCCCCTCATCAAAACTTAAAGACCTGACCACAGCTGCAAAAAGAGAATACATGTAATTAACTAGACCCCATTTCCAGCATTATTTTAAAACTTCTTCTAAACACTTACATTTTAAAGGGGAGTTTTCCGATGAAAGTGGTGGTGCAGACTCTCCAATGGTCTTGCTGATTCGATTTTCACAGTCACTCTGAATGCATGCAGCAGCTGACAAGACCACTTTGGGCAACAGAGCTGAAAGCAGATTGACAATTTAGCAACATGAAACCTGAAAAGTAAAAAGCTTTTTACTATAGTGCCTTGTACTTACCTTGCTTAGCAGATGGCTGGTTACCCAACTGTGTCAGATTCTTGCCAGTGTCAGTGATTTTAGAAATACTTGAACTGCCTGCAAAAGAAAACATTTCCAAGAATATAAATAGAATGATACTTTGTAGCTTGTCCAATTAAAAACTTAACTTACAGGTACTATTGGATGAAGGGGAGTAATCCACAAGTCCTATTTTTCTACCTGAGGCTTTAGCAGAACCTAGTGAAGGCTGATTCAAACCTGCAACACAGAAGTTAGGGGCAGGTCACCAATCAAACCTTCTAGATGAATGAGCTAAAAACTGATCTAAGTCATAGCATAGGTTTGGAACAGCAATGTCATTTAATTTAAAGCGCAAGACCTTTAAGATAGCATCGTACAACATAAATTCATGCGGACAAAGGCAAGGTTTCATGAATAGAAACTATACCTGAAATGGATTCCACCCAGGCGTGGCACTTGTCATCCATGGATGTTGGCAGGGAAATCAAAGCCGCAGCAGCAGTCAAATCTGATGAAGATCTGTTGGACAACAGGACCTGCTTGGCAGATGGAAAATCCTCATGCCGCCACCGGTCCTGCATCTTCATCAGACAGGCTTTGAAGCGAGTTGGAATGCATTTTGCCGTTGGCCGATGAACAGGAGGCTTCAAGCCTGAAGATGTTGTTTTCGGCTGAGAGAAGCCAGACGGAGGTGCACTCAATGGCTCTGACATCAAACTAGGTGGCACTTCCTTGTCGGATCTAAATTTAGGTGAGGGCCACCTTCCTTCTGTTGAGTTGGAACCTGCACTATCACCCCTGCTGTAAAAGTGCTTGGGTGTCACTGGCATGATGGCCCCTAGCCTAGAACCAACAGAAAGACAAATACAAATTACCAAAGTGAACTAAACAAGAAAAATAGCAGCTGGAAGAGAGATGAAAAGAGCCCTGACAACCAAAAGAATAAAACACAGCACATGAAATCAAACAGAAATCACAACAAAAAGTTTTATGCTATGTGAAGCCTTAGGCAGCTCAAAGCTTAAACAGGTGAGCAACATAACGGTCTATAAGATAGGAAAAGGGAAATGCAAAGGGAACTGCTGTTAAGAAATACGAGGGCTTACTAAGTTCTCTACACCTGAATCTTCTGTTTGACAGGGCCTCGTACGCTATTACCGCGCCACAACAGAGTTCACAAGCCAACGATTAAGGTCGCGTCCGCGGCGGGCGCTAGCGAGTTCATGATAGCCAACACTGCACCACTCACATACTTGCGTGAAAATACTCCTAGTCTTGAAAACACCCCATGAATATATTTTTTGTTAACTTATGATAAGAGGCAACAAAATATGAAACGCACAGAAAATCATCATCTCCCTAGATTGCGGTTTCCCAGAAACAACATAATTTTTGTGGGGTTGGCCATATTGAAGCGATTGTTGTCTAACGACCAATGGCAACGCAGAAGTAGCCGATTCGCCGATTCCCTTCCAAACCTTTACCCCACCCGCCCCCACCTCACCCACCCCTCTCGTCCCTCCTCACTGCTAGCCACTACAAGCCACTGCACAGTGGAGCGAAACGCCAAAAAATGCGACATCGTGCGACATAGAATCATTTTCCGATCCCTCAGCTTTTTTCACGGCATATGGTCATTTCATGATGTTATCTAGTAAAAGAAATGATTTCCTGGTATTGGCTAGGCTTATAGAGCAAAAAATCGCGAAAAACACGAAAATTTTGTATCAAAATGTGCCATTTTTTACACGTTTTTTGCCCGTAAAACTGTCAGTTTTCGATTCTGCAACTTTTCTCAACAGATTCTGAAAGCTAAGGACAAGGCCTACAACTTTTGTTATGGTCGCAACACTGTAGCGAGGTCGGCTCTTCGAGTTTTTTGGCCTCAAAGGTTTTCCCTATAATAAATTTTATTGAAAAATTATTCCTATTTTGACAAATTTAGGTATTTTTGTGCCCTTGAGGTCTGTGTTGCCTCGCTACATCTATTTCCGGTTCTTATTAACTCGATCGGATGAATTGAAACTGGTTGGGATGTAAAGCGGACTGCAGGGGCACAAGAATACCTAAATTTGTCTAAATAAGAATAATTTTCCAGTGCAATTTATTATAGGAAAAACCTTTGAGGCCAAAAAAGTCGAAGAGCCGACCTCGCTACAGCGTTGCGACCAAAACAAAAGTTGTAGGCCTTGTCCTTAGCTTTCAGAATCTGTTGAGAAAAGTTGCAGAATCGAAAAAATGTCAGTTTTACGGGCAAAAAACGTGTAAAAAATGGTACATTTTAGTACAAAATTTTCATGTTTTTCGCGATTTTTTGCTCTACAAGCCTAGCCAATACCAGGAAATCATTTCTTTTACTAGATAACATCATGAAATGACCATATGCCGTGAAAAAAGCTGACAGATCGGAAAATGATTTTATGTCCCACGATGTCGCATTTTTTGGCGTTTCGCTCCACTGTGCACTGCAAGCCACTGCAAGCCAAGAAAACCATCAAGGAACTATCTCAAAAAAATGGTATCATTGAGTGAAAGTTCGTCCATGTGGACTAGTGGGGACGAAAGTATAGACAAAGATGAGACCTGGATGTTATCTGGGGAGGTGAAACTTTTGGAGAAGAAGTGGGAGGAGCTTCCTCCTTACTTCCTGGGTGGCAGGGCATTTGCCGAAAGAGAGATGTGAGTATTCTAGACATGGTACTGGTACTGGTAAACAGAAACGAATGCCCCTCTTTCAATTATTATTTTCTCTTGTCACAGTATGGATCCCCCCAAGTATAAGGCTTTGTTCATACCTAAAAGAACTAGCTCTCCATTGAGAAATAAGAGTCTCAACGAAACAGAAAAGAAAGAGTTGGAGAGATACAACAAGTGAGAGAAACTAACATTAATCCTTGAACCAAGATAGTGCTTTCTCCTGCTCTGCTAAGTAATGGTTTTGTTTATCAGGTTTCTAGAAGAAATGGAGCATGTGGAAGAGCAGCGCAAGCAGAGAAAGAGAGTTCCAAAGCCATTCTGGCCTGATCCCGAGACTCCAGAAAGTAAGGATGAACTCGGTCATGCTTTCAAATACTTCCCACTTTTCGAGCAGCCATCAGTACCAATTTGCTCATTGCATCATTTCAGACTATTGGAATCCAGGATGGAATTCACCGCCAAAGGAGGAAAATAAGGAATAGGTTGTTAAGTTCTTCATATAATAAATTATTAATACCTGCACAATAATACAGAGTGAGGTGTAACCCATTAAAATGTGCCTTTGGATTTGTTTTAGTTTAATACTAATATAATTTGGTCTCCTAAACAACTGTTGTTTCACCGAGTGATTCATAAAAGTGATGAGAGTGGAGTTTCGCATAACCAAATATCCCAGGTTTCTTCGTGCTGAAGCATCAGGAGATTGGCAGTTATAGATTGGTGGCGTGAATAAGCGTTATTACAATGCGAACATATGCTTATTAAGATCTGTTGCGAATGTATCACTTGAGTGTAGTGTCTGAAGCTATGGCAGTTTTTTTTTTGTTTTACATAAAATCGTAGTTATGCAATATTTTAGATAGAACTTTTGTGCATGGGATAAGACTCTGAGCTTCTCATCACCACATTGCAGAAATAAGTTATTCTTTACATTTCAAAAATCTATTTTTGTCCTGTCTGTTCTATCTGAGGTGATAAGAAGCTCAAATGGAGTCCTATCCCATGCACAATGGTCCTTTCTTAATGACTTAATGATTCTCTGATATTAACCCACAGCCATCTTATCAAACACAAGGCTCAATTATTGCTAACAGTAAATTGATCTGATGCATGCCTTTATCTAGAGCCAACATTTGGAATTATTTTTAAAAGCCAAAGATAATCCTCTGCTTCAGGCTTGGAAAACAAATTCCTCCAACACTTTTATCTAATGATCTTCCGATGCTCCAACACCAAGAAAGCTGGAGATGTAGGTGTAAATCCACTCACAACACTTAAACGAATTATCACAGATTTGCGGTGGTTGTTTGAGTCATGCATTCACTTACCTAAACTATGGAGTTTTGTAGCACGAGTAGAAAAGAACCAATGGTGAGATGGCTTGAGCCATGGCATCAGTGGTGATACCGATGACATGCTGACTGGGTTCCACAGGGAACTCGGGAATGGCAAGATGACCCCAGCACAACCAACGCAAGATTCTGAAATGTAAATACAATAAGAATTAAGCACATTCTGGGCACTTTGAAAATGTAACACGAGGAGCACTTGCACAGCTGTCACATGTAAAATTTGTCACATTGTTTAGAGTTAAATAAGAATCTTTTATAACTATTATTATTGTGCTGCAGTACTTGTTAACATTTAGATTAATTATTCGCTAGTCATGGTTTGTCTTGTTAACCCAAGAATAGTTGTAGTGAGTAATTACAACAGAAGCTGACAGAAGTTTACTAATGTTGCTATCCTTGCTAGGTGAAATGACTGAGTTACTGAACTCGGCCAACTGCAGGCAATGTTTTCAAATATATTTATCTCACCTTCCAAGGCTACTATCTTCATTCAAGACTTACCAGATACCCGATACTCCTCAATTCCACTGCCTGGCTGAAGACTGGCTATTCACTGTCTTTGGCATTACTCCTGGACTCCGTTTCCTCAGACACAGCCACCACATTTCGCCTTCTAATATTCCTGTACAAACAAAGGTAATGGATAGAGTTCTCCACTTCAGTATGGACATTCAACAGCAACAGGGAAAGCCTGGGGCTAGAACGCAGGGTTAGGACAAACACTCTAAGGCTTATTGTAGAGTAGTCAAAATGACAAGAATGACAGCCAGACGGAGAAAAATAAAGGTGTGCGCAAGAAAGCCTGTGTGAATAGACCAATGAAGCTCAAGCTGCTGGTGCAAGATCAATGCACTTGACTGCAACACATAAACAACAAGGGACTCGAGTCACACATGCTTCATAAGGACTTAGAATTCTGAGTGAAACTTCTTAGTAATTAAAAAAAAGTAAAGAAATTTTACAGACTATCAGCACCAATATAAGAGAGAGAAAACAAAATTTTTGAAGAAAAAGCTAAACAGAAATATTGGGCTCGGCACTTAAATTCTTTATCTACCATTTTACATGCGTGTGAGGTCTGTGAAGCAGATTCCATTGTTAGTGACAGTATCAAAATGATAAACATATCAAAATGCACTTCCTAATATTCCCAAACACAGAGCCAACATTTACTTGGTAACAATAATGATTGGACTGTAATTCTTACCTTCCAGTCTTGATCCATGCTGTTGCCGCCCAACTACAACCAGTTGTTGGATGAGTAGTAGCTCTTCTGAGCATGGCTTCGCTGCAAAAAATCCTCCTTAGTGATCACAGAATCCTCCTCTGATACCTGCACAAAAAAACAAAGCAGCACTTCAAGCAAGAGCAATAAAATTAAAAATAACACTATCAGAAAAGCTCCCTATGGTATCAAGACGGGGTTAGGTAACCAAAATATGAGACAAAATCAAGGCAACCAATGGGAAAGAAAACTTGACGTAGTGCATAGGAGACGCAACACGCATGTGAAGGTGGAGAGAGAATCAAGCAGTGCACTGCATACGACTAAAGTAATTTACAGAGAAAGCAGGATCGCAAAATGGCGAAACTCACTTACGACGGACGGGACGGCCAGGGTGGGCCAGGGCCAGACAAAAACAACAACAAGGACTGCATCTCGAACGCCTCCCTCACATTGCAGGCCCAGGGGCTTGAAGGGCCGTGACCGGGCCGCACAGGTGAAGGCACCTCCAGAAAGCTTGAAGTCTGGGCTTTCGGCGATGCGGTATTACTTTCCGTTCACGTCCTCCCTGAAAAGCGGGCTGCGACCGCACCATTGGTGGCACTTTCGGACGCCACCCGCCTGATGCCGTCTGCTCTCCGCCAACCCCCTTCCCCTCTCCCCCGTAGTGTGAACAAGCAACAAGTATATTATTTGCACTCGAGACTGGAGGGTGAATAGTTAGTTGTCTGCAAGTTGCGTTGACATTTTGACAAACTTCATTTCAAGCGGATCAGTTTCATCATTTGCACCGACATTTCGACAATGTCGCGTATTTTGAAGATGTGCTCAGTGTGGTTCTTGAAGAAATCTTTCTGTGTACAGTCACATCATACCCACAAACTTGTGGCTTCCAGCCAATTTATGTTGCTCAAGTTTCTCTTTAAGTTGGTGGTGTCTTTTCAACCAAATCAATGCCACTCAGTGCATGACAGAAACAACTCTAGTTCTGATTGGAAAGAGGCAGTCTCAAAAAACAAAAACAACAGCTGCATCTTATCCGAGCTGTGAGTAAGTACTCCACTCCTACTAAATGGTGGGATTTGGTTTCAATGTTACAATAGAGTGTACTGGGATCTGAATGTTAGACCATCTGACTGCACGATATTTAAACACATCTTCATCTGCAGGCTTTGTAAGCCTATCTCACTGTCCAATATTCTAAACGCATCTGTTGTTTGAACGTAAGTCCATCTACTTTCTGGCAATATTGCGTATGTCCACTGGTTTTCTGACAAAATAACGTATGTCCGGACTTACGTTATTTTCTCAGAAAATCAGTGGACATACGCAAATTTGTCAGAAAATGCATGGACATACGTGGACTTACGTCCTTTGGGTCAGAAAATGGTGGACATACGTTGTTTGGGTTATGGGCCAAACAACGTAAGTCCAGTGATCTTGGAAACTAAAAGAGCTGCAACAGATTTCAAAAGAGTATGTGTTCCAGCATCAAATACAGAGCACTTACATATTTTCAGATCCCAGCTCCAGTTTCAATTTCCTGAGATATTTAGTTTTTATCCTCTCCTGAAAAATTTTGTTCCGAGGACTTACGTCCCTTTGTCAGATCATCAGTGAGTTGTGGCTGCCTGCCGGGGCGTGATGGCTGCAGCTCGGCTGGAGCTGCTTGTGATCTCCTTTGCGAGGAAATAAACAGAAACCGTCAACTGTCAGGTTTTTAAAACCAATAAGGCCCATTTTCAAAAAATATATGGGATAAATGTTTAGTATGAGTTTTTGCTCCAACGACAGAGCGTGTATTTGACTATGATTCAACTACTTCCACAGCGAAAACGGTTTCTGGTTTTCCCAGGAGCTCCCTGGAAACCGCCTGTCTCTACCATAAGCTTCCTGGGAAAACCAGGTACCGTAACCGTGTGCAGCTCGGGCCATAAGCTGCATTATATTTATGTAACCTTCACATTGAGATGGGTACCGGTTAAACCTACATTGATTTCAGATTTTCGGAATCAGTACAAAAATTTACAGTTAAGCCAAAGTGCGATGAAATTTGTACACACTGAATGTCATGGTTATGCAAATTTAAGCACAAAAGTCCCATGACATTTAGTGTGTATTGCGCTGGAAGTGTGGTCTGTATCGCAAGCATGGAATAACAATGCTGTTGCCAAACTTCCACTTGAAGTTGTTTTTCGCCTCTTGGCGGTATTTGAAACTAATGTTTCGAGCCTAATGCAAACGTTGGTTTTCTCCATAAAATTTCGGAGCTAGTTTCTAACACTGCGGGCACTTGCCAGGCGTAAACAAAATTGTTTCAGCGTCGGACATGCGCTAGAGATTGTCCCCTAAGTAAGAGGCAGGCAGAAGAAGACATCACATACCAATCTGGATAAGGTGCTGGACGTTTTTAGGGATGGAGGCCAAAACAAATGCCTCCAAAGCCTCAGCCGCTTCTTCTACAATGACTGAAATCAAAAGAAGATTCGAAAGTGACAGTGTTTGGCTGCATAGGGACAAATTCTTTTAAGGTAGAGGTAGTAAAGCAGTGAAGCTATCAGATCTTCGTTGTAACTGACACCTGCAGACCTGCACAGTCGCTTAGTCCCATCACCTGCCCACCTTAAAAATGCAACTTCTGTAATAACGTGCTTAAAAGGGCCGTAACGATGGCTTGCAGTCAGCGTGATGACACTGAAACTGCGCACCTCTTCAGTGTCTCCTTGGTTTGCCTCCAGGCAAACTTGACAAACTCCTAATGCCCTGAAGTTCGAATAAATTTTCAAAATTGACCGACCGAATTGAATGGAATATTCTCTATAGAGATCTCTATAGATATATATCTCTATGGAGATAAATACACTCCCGACAAAAATTAGCGGAACGCTTTTTGTCATCGTAATATTTTCTAAGTCTTCCGAGCTAGGAAGCTGAAATTTTGTACACGGGTGCCCCTACTACTTCCCTCGAGGCCTGCGAAGCGCGTAGCCCGTGCGCCTCCCCTAACGGACGGCACCCACCCCTAAGTGCGCGAGGGTGAAAAAAACGATGAAAACGTGCCGTAAAAACCAACTTTACCTCATCGCAGAGGCCAAAGTTTTCGTGTACGAGGTCAAATGAGTCTCCTCTTTCCAACGATGCAAGCGGAATTCAATTTGAACCAACCCACCCCCCGCTGCACTCACCCCCACCCCCTCGAGAGGGTGGATTTCGAGCATGTTTGAATTTCGCGCAAAACAGCGTCGGGGCGTCCCCCGTACCAAGCAATCATGTTTTTTCGACGTTCCAATCACCCCCGGGTGAATCATCCCCCAGAAAGTCCAACCCCCTTTCGAACACCGGCCGTCCGGGGCCTTTCGGTTTGAGCAAAATGCAACAAAACTCCAGGGGGCATTCCTCCAGTGTCCAAGAAGACCTCTCAGCGAAGAAACGCGCTACCGGACGACTGCAACCCCTGCGGTCGGGGTGTTCACCCCCTTGCACCCCTGCACGCCCCCGGAGGGGTTGGAAGCCCTCCGCCGAGCGGGCTGGTCGAACAAGACATGGGGGAAGCGATCCTGAAGTTTTCAAGACAATCCCACCAACCGTTCGTCTTCCAGAGCGAAAAAAGCGTCATTTCCAGTAAAAACCACCCCTAACTTCACTCCCTTCCAGCGATCCACTAAGTGGGGGTAGCATTCCCAACCAACGTCACAACACTCGGCCCAGACCTCATTTCAAAGGCCTCCAAGTTTCAGACTGATACGACAAAGTATGGGACCGTGGGAGCGACGCAACGATGTGCCTGCACTCGGCGGCAACGGACGCGCTGGCCCGTCGGGTCCATGCGCCGTGCAGGTAGGCAAGCCAACTCACCTGGCGCCAAGTTGATTAAAAGCCATTTGGAAGCCTGATTATGGCTCGCGCGTCACCACGCTTCAGCACTGTGGGCAGGGCATGTCTCCCAACATGCCACAGTGGCTAACCAGCCAAAATCGGGCTTCCAAATGGCTTTTAATCAACTTGGCGCCAGGTGAGTTGGCTTGCCTACCTGCACGGCGCATGGACCCGACGGGCCAGCGCGTCCGTTGCCGCCGAGTGCAGGCACATCGTTGCGTCGCTCCCACGGTCCCATGCTTTGTCGTATCAGTCTGAAACTTGGAAGCCTTTGAAATGAGGTCTGGGCCGAGTGTTGTGACGTTGGTTGGGAATGCTACCCCCACTTAGTGGATCGCTGGAAGGGAGTGAAGTGAGGGGTGGTTTTTACTGGAAATGACGCTTTTTTCGCTCTGGAAGACGAACGGTTGGTGGGATTGTCTTGAAAACTTCAGGATCGCTTCCCCCATGTCTTGTTCGACCAGCCCGCTCGGCGGAGGGCTTCCAACCCCTCCAGGGGCGTGCAGGGGTGCAAGGGGGTGAACACCCCGACCGCAGGGGTTGCAGTCGTCCGGCAGCGCGTTTCTTCGCTGAGACGTCTTCTTGGACACTGGAGGAATGCCCCCTGGAGTTTTGTTGCATTTTGCTCAAACCGAAAGGCCCCGGACGGCCGGTGTTCGAAAGGGGGTTGGACTTTCCGGGGGATGATTCACCCGGGGGTGGTTGGAACGTCGAAAACACATGATTGCTTGGTACGGGCGACGCCCCGACGCTGTTTTGCGCGAAATTCAAACATGCTCGAAATCCACCCTCTCGAGGGGGTGGGGGTGAGTGCAGCGGGGGGTGGGTTGGTTCAAATTGAATTCCGCTTGCATCGTTGGAAAGAGGAGACTCATTTGACCTCGTACACGAAAACTTTAGCCTCTGCGATAAGGTAAAGTTGGTTTTTACAGCACGTTTTCATCGTTTTTTTCACCCTCGCGCACTTAGGGGTGGGTGCCGTCCGTTAGGGGAGGCGCACGGGCTACGCACTTCGCAGGCCTCGAGGGAAGTAGTAGGGGCACCCGTGTACAAAATTTCAGCTTCCTAGCTCGAAAGACTTAGAAAATATTACGATGACAAAAAGCGTTCCGCTAATTTTTGTCGGGAGTGTATATGTCAACGGATTCGTCGCAACAGGCCAAAGAAAAATTTCTCCACATATCAGTCAGTGGCGCCAACAGAAATTTCATTAGGGGGCGCGACCTGTCGTTGGGACCCACCCACCCGTCTACCCCCCCCCCCCCCCCCAAAGAATTAATTAGAAAGAAATAATTGCTTTGTTAGTGACAGCATAATACATTTGCTTTCTTTGAAATGAGCGTTGTATTTTGTATTGGTTGAGGTAAGTCATACGTGTGGATGAAGAAGAGATGCAGCATGCAGCGCAGCAAGAAGGTATGTATGTTATAAATAGCTCAATTGTTTAATTGTTTACTTGAAAACAAATTATTTATTAACTCCACTTTCAGACAGAAATCTTACAGAACTTTTT